ATTTACTGTTGCAAGTTAATGTGTGCATTAGCAACAACTTCACGTCAATTTACTATTCGCAATATTCATCCGCGCAAATAGCGCCTTGATTAAATCTCGACGCGTTGCCAGTTAGTACTTACTTACCGCTGGACCGAATGTATGAAGTTCATGCACAGAGGAGACTCAAAACTAAAGTTTATCTTAAACATGTGCAATGGAAGTTCGTGCAGAAGCAAAATTCACAAATATGAATTTCTAAAGATGATAGAAAACTTGTTTTTAATGCAAAATCATATGAATTACGAACTTTTAATGCAATTTCGTGCCTCCGCTGTGCATTAATGCAAATTCTGTTATTTGCATCTTATTTTATTCCTCTCACCTCATAATCTAAAATTTGTTTGCTACCAAAAACATTCAACAACTACGACTGAAAAACATTTCTAGACGCAGAAAATGATGACCTACATCTTGCGTGTACCATGGAAATATATCTTTCCACTTGACATATAGTTTCTACCATTCTATAAATTGATGACGCGAAGTGAGATGCTAATGATAGGAGTGTGTTTCCTGTGCGCAAAGTTATAAACCGGAATATAGGCCAAAACAGATGACAGACGCATAATTATTAAACTATGCGCTGATTTTTTGATCCGCTGCGCATTTTCGTACATTCGAAACAGATGGCACGCATTTATTTTCCGTTTTATTGGACATAATTGATGCAGCTGCATGTGAATATGAATATGCGTTGTGTAAGCGCGTGTGTCGAACTTTCGTCGGACATGCAACGTGCGCGCGCGGTGAACCCAACACCTATGTTGTGAAAATATTACTCGCTTATTTAACTCTTGCTTCACTCGCAGTCGCAGCAACACACCAGCAGACGCAATGATAGTATCCGAGAGGTTGGTTTCATTCATGGTTTTCAACTCGCCCACTGATTCATACGTCCCACTAAGAAATCCGCCGGCTGCAAACTGTTTCAAAATTTTCGTTTTAGAGTTTATCTAGCATATGGTGTGTTTCCTGTGCATAGGTAAATTGTAATCATGAATGAAACAATAAAAAACAAAGATTACTAAACTATTACCACACCGCATCAACATCATAACGAAGCAAACTGCCAAATGTGGTCGACAATTGTATGCAATTACCTTGCTGCATCGAATTAGTCATTAATTATTCAACAAATTGAAATAATGACTAAGTTATAATGCGCAGTGTTATTGTTGGATGATGTTTGTCTATGATGAGGTGATGTGCAATAATTTATTTTGAAAACTTTTTAATTCAAGGGGGTGTAATCCACGCCGTGATTAATGGAGATAATGTGTGCACCAAAGGGGTGCGTGGGTTTTTCACTGGAATAGCGCTCATTTCCCGGAAAATTTATCCGCAGCGATGCTCGACGCTGCTGCATAGTATGTATACCTATAGGATCATGTTACAAAAGCGCATCCTATTACCAAAACAGACAATTCTGGGCAATTATTAAATATGAGTGAAACACTAGAGGTGAAATCCTGTGCGCATGGAAATTTGCGTCTCTGGAAACATACTAATATCATTGATATTCACTGTGCAACTGCATAGTATTTGTCGCAGTTAACATACTTGTTAGTGCTCTGATCTGCAAAGCTTCTTATTATATGAAATATATGGTTGGCCGCTTCCCTGAACACCCGAGGGAGCATTATCACGACCATTTGTGTACTCTTCTTGGAAACTCATGGTTTACGTAGAATTTCCCGGTGATAGCATATAGGTAACGATATGAGCCTCGCACGAGTCGGTACCGCAAACGCTTTTTCAAATTTTTCTTCCTCGCAGCTTATTATTCAAAATTTATGTCATAATAATATGGAATATAAAGCAGCGTGTGACTTTTCTGCTAGTTCCGTGAATGTAAATTGCCGATAGACTTCTTATCGATACAATGTTTACAATCTCACAAAATTTGAATGCTGTTCAAATTGCGTGGGCGTTGAGGACTAAACCGCGTTGCAATTTGCCAAACACAATGGCTCTGTGCAACATTGCAAAAGGATAAAAAATAATACGACATTGTCAAGCGCTGGATGAAAGCGAGAAATTAAAGTTAAACTTAGTCGACTTTTCCTCTCCGGGGTGGAAAACATTCAGCGTCCAGATCTTTTTCCGTCACTTCACCTTTTTCTGCTCGTGTGTTACCATGGTGATCCAATTCAGTCCGTACCTGTTGCTGCGTGCGTCATGAGATTTCATTAACATGATATGATATGAATCTAATATAAAAATTATTTATTGCCGAAAATAATACCACACCAGGGATGGAATCTACGTTGTTTGACCTTTCGATAACGATTTGAAATGCAGCAAGACTTTCCTCACCCTGGTGGATATAATATAATGAATATCAAATATTTTAGTTCCAAAGGTTAAAAGTCATAATTTTCCGCTGAATATTCAAAGTTTTAAATTTCGCTTTCATTATCCTTGCGGGCGATGAGCAGGTGAAAGGTTCGCCTTGTGTGTATTGAACCGCTTTCCAATTCAACCCTGATGGGAGAGGTTCAATGTCTAGGGCTAGGTTACCATTGTTGGCCATATTCGCAGCGCTTTTCATTCATAAACGCAGGGCGTGCAGGACACGCGCATGTCCTGGCTGTTTGACGTCACGGCAACGGAAGCAGATCGATGCCATCTTGACGTCAGAGATACGGTGCGCGTTTGACGTCATACGCCGTATAGTGTAATTCCATTTGGACTCTGTAAAGCGTGGGCGTACAGTGTTGCTACACCCCTACTTTGGCACCACAACTGCGGCCACGATAGGAATGGTCCAAACCAACCCAACCCTTTGTATCGATGCGACGAAAATAGACTTTTCCTTGACCTACTAGTCCTTTCCAAGCAAAAACATTACCCTCAATTTAAATAAAAGTAATAGTAGTCAACAATTCTATAAATAAACAAAATCGTGTTTCTGTGTTGTAATAACTCGAAACACTGCCCTTTGAATGACGCATGTGGAGAACATATGATTACTAATTCATGTATGCTCATTGATTAGATGATTAGATTATCGTGATATGTAGATGATTACAGGTGCATGATACTCTGACAAGAGACAGTGGGACGTTGACCGAATGGAGTGTTTGTATATTCAATCCCAGCGTGGTATAAACGTAGTGTGTGCGTAAACTTGACAATCAGTGTGAACTTTTGCTTTCCTTGCCGAGAGCTGAAGCCCGGTGAATCGATGCGTATTTCCCGACAACGACCAATCTCTGTTTACCAAGCATGTTCGAAGTACGAACGTCATTGTCATTAGAGATAAATTATAGAGGAGTGCGCAGGACTGCCGATTGATGGTAGAGGGATGCCGTTTTTGTAAAATCGATATTTGCGATGTGGACGTGGAAATTATTACGGATTGGCCTTGAAATGCTCTCAATGTGGGATATTCTGGCCAGTGACAAATACGTGTGCATTGTTTTATACGGATGAGGAGTGTGACAGGGATATTTTTGGTCATTACAGACAGATAACCATTTATAATTATCAATTTCTATATAAATAACTTACCTGAGTCAATAATATCGGATGTGTTGTAGCGACAGCTAAAATTGTAGCAATTCGTAATTTTGCTACTTTTATCAGTCAGTCTTTGTGCAAATTTTGATGCAATTTGTTGTTATTGTTCTACAAAACAATTGAATGGAATCAAGTTTAATTTAATGCAAATAAGTAAATCCTAGCGCCATCTCAGCGGATTTAAAATAATATATTTTAACAATTTAATGCAAATTAGTGCATCTTAGCGCCATCTTGACTTGAATTATATAGCGATACCTCGAATACTGCCTAAGCAACATTGTTATTTCAAAGTGGCCTGTATTTCAGGAATTAATTAACATTTTTAGAGTTTCTCACCGTCATAATATAGTTAAAGTGATGCTCTATGCAATGCATACACTTTCAACTTCCTAAACCTTTCAGAAGTATCTTAAATTACCGTAAGAAAATCACTTTTCCTTCCTGTCTCGACAGTTTATTTACAAGTTTATTTACAGCTTTTTTCGGTCATATTGTGAATCGGAAGATTTTATACACAATGCGTACCCTTGTAATCCTATAATTTACTTTAAAGTGCCCTAAAATGTCTTTCAAAACTTTCCATCTAAAAAATTGAAAACGTGGTGTAGAAAACACCCTGCATCTCCTGAAATAAAACATTTACTCTAAGTTTCTCAGCGCCATATTATAGTCTAAAAGACCCTTTCTACGACGCATATTATTTCAACCCTCTAAAGTTTGTAATTAAAAATGGTCAATAACTTAAAAGCTAATTAAGATAACGCAACCAAACCTGGATTAATGCATTCTTGGTATTGTTTTTCAACAGTTTGCAAAGTTTAGAGAAAATTGGAGAGGTAGTTATATTTAAGCAGTTTTGAATATACCACCCATTTTCCGAAATATTGATGTTATCGGAAAATTGACTTCATATTTTTCATCCCCTTGGAAAACTCAATCAATTAGAGTTTTCCATTTTCTTCTAACTCAAAAAATTTCATCATGTTTTCAATTTTTTTGAAAAATTCCAATGTTTAAAGGGCATTTTGGGCACTTCTAGAAGAGCTAGAGCTTTGGACGGGTATGCATCTTATAGGGGGTCTTTAGAACTATAATATTACGATGAGAACCTTAAAGAAAGTTAATTAGTTCATGAGATACAATGTGTTTTCCGCCTCATGTTTTGAAATTTTTGTAATATTGCCATTTGTTAAAGGGCATTTTGGGGTACTTCCAGGAAGTTTATTAGGTAGAAAAGATATGCATCGTATAGAGGGTCTCCCAAACTATAATATGACAATGAGAAACTTAAAGAAGGTGCATTAGTTCATGATATACAGGGTGTTTTCCGCGTCATGTTTTTAAACTTCTGTAAAAATCCCACTTTTCAAAAGGAAGTTTAGGGCATTTCCGGATGATGTAGAAAGGTGTAATATTATAATTTTGCTTCAAAATAGTAACATTACGATTTATTCAAACGTTCAGATTGCAAACAAAACAATATAATAGTGATATATCGTATCAAAAGTATTTACATGTATGTATAAAAATACGCGTAAAAATAAAAAAATAACTAATAACAATCCAAGTACAGTTCAACCTACTACAATAATAATTATTCCTCTTCATCAGTGCAATTAGTTAAATTAGGTTCGGACTCAGCTCGTTTCTTCATCACTATTTCCTGACTTTTGACGCTCACGTCGTTACGAGCAAAAATATCATCTATATTATCCACACGTACGTCTTCTATTTCCACCTTCAAAAGTTCTTCATTCAGTGTAACATTTTTTAAATCCACCGTGCTATTAGCAAAAATTGCAGGACCAAGTTCACTGTTCAGTGACTTTTTACCCTCGACGCCATTAGAAACAGGTTGAGTCAATATCGGCATATCCAGGATAGGCTTCGTCGGACTCGTTGCAGTGTCCCGAAGCCAATCTTTTGGAGGCCCTTTATTTGTAGGCAGAGGACTATTCGACCTGTTTGTAGACGGAGACTGCGATGATGCTTTCTCTTGTTTGTGCTGTGTTATCAGATAACAAGCCAAGCCCAGTATGAGAACACTGTTGAGTACTCTCATTGCACCCATGCACATAAACGCCACAAAACTGATAATTACAGATGCTAAATCGTTAATGTGTAGGGCATGGCCAAGCACGCGCATCATCACAACGCCCAATGGCAGCGGGATGAATCCCATTCTTCGTGCAACCAAATCCGAATGATCTGAGAATGCATGCTTCTGACGTGTTTGAGCCATATCATACGCCAAACTAGTCGTATAATCTCTATAGACATCAACTTGTAACTCATTAAACCGTGTAATAAACGCATGTTTAATCCAGTCGACGAAGATCTCCGCAGTTAATACGATAATGCAGTCTGGTAAAAGTACCCAAAACCTATCGGATTTCCATGAGTACTCCTTCATTGTTTGCAGCACCACAATGAAAAGAAGAGTCACCAAATGAAAACGCTCGCGGACATCACTGCATGACACTTGGAACAAGTTGTTCTTGTCAAATTTCTTAAAAACGCTGCCTTTCAATTCCACAAACTAAAATATAAATTACAATTAGTAATTTTAGGGTGTATTATCTGCAATACCTTACGTTATTTGACATCATAATCGTAAGTAAGGCCTTATTATTCGAATTGATCGCAACATTCAACGTTGTAGCTTGGCACAGCACCAATAATGCATGTAAAACTATTAAATTAATAATTAAGGTAATTATTAAACAATATAGGTAACGTAGATGAGTAAAATGTGTGTTTTAAAAGGATACAGACATAGACAATAGCAAATATAAGATGGGGAATTACACCAAGATGCTCACGACGTCTATCTCTTGGTTCTGTCGCCGTCCAAAACAGCGCATCAATTGTATCCTGCCCAAACGCCGAAAACAAGCGATCGCCCACCTCCAGCATATTATAAAATATGTATAGCTTAATAACTGACTGACTCTTAATTAAATGGTACATCATGTTGGTGTCTATGTAGAACATCAACACAGTGCACATGACTAAAATGACTGCTTTCAATAGATCACAAATTTCTGCTGGTGATAGAAGTGTTTTGTTTGGATTTCTTTGCCTGAAATTACATTTATTTATTATGAACTGAAGTAAATAATTGGTTTCTATATGCATACCCAAAACACTTTGCAAATGGTCTGGTAAACAGTGCCCATAATGCTAGTAACACCCTAAGTGGCAAAAAGGTGTACACAAAAAGAAATGAATCAGCACACTGCATAAATCCATATGTCATGAATTTCTCGACTTCTCTTGGAATTTTCATGAAAGAATATACTTTTTCACGGCGCGCCGAATACCGCTCCTCGTCATTTTCAAGTGCATAACCTCTGGTTAGCTCAACTTGTAGGAATGAAAACAATGAGGGACTTTTGCCTGAAAGAAATGCAATGTAATGCACATTGTGTATTGGTGGCACTTACAAGAGATTGTTACATTTTTTGGGTGAATCCACTTCATCAGTCTTATCATTCTTATCAGTTTTAAATAAATCTTCCACTTGGCTCTCATTTGAGAATAACACTTTGGCCTGTGGTCGGAAACGAAGTTTCTTCTCGTTTGTTGCCAGCGGCACAAACGACGTTGATGGCTCGTTCATTTTATTTGGTACCTTTATAACATGATAATACCTATAAACAACACACTCGAAATGCAATATTGTTTAAATAATCTCCGCGTATTCCGCAGATGTTTGTAATACACATATTTGTGTCCACTTGAACTTGAAATGAATGACAGTTGTCGACTGTCAAAATCTAATTAATAAGAACTTTTTAACAATAAATCTAGTATAATTATTTAAATATATAATTAAAATAACTACAATAAACTGAGTGAAATATTTCAAATAGTAAATTAAGCATTTATAACTAAGATGTTGAAAATATTTCAAACCGCAAGTATTCTTGGTTGCCTATTACCTCGGTTGTCATCGCAAGCTGTCGTAAACATACTAATCGTTTATGATCGTGTTACGTCGGCGTAAACTCTCTTTCTGTCAAGAATTTAATGGCTGCGGCCTTTTCTTGTAAACTTGTGAGTTGAATCGGTGGTTTTCTTCGTAATCCGAAGAATAATTAAAGTGTGTGAGACGCAAATAAATAAAATTCACCATGGCGGATAAGGTAATGCTTATATTTTAATTGTTACGTTTAGTATATGGAAAACATTTTATTGTTGACATGGAGCATTTCAGCTAACCTAACTTTCTCACGATTTTAGGAAATTGAAATTAAGAAGAAGAGGACTTTCCGTAAGTTTACCTTCCGTGGCGTGGATTTGGACCAGCTTCTGGATATGCCAAAGTAATACCCCGTAGTGTCCGAAAAATGCGTTTGAATTAATAAATTATTTTGTATTTTAAGTGAGCAGCTTATGGAGTTGTTGCATTGCCGTGTAAGGAGGCGTTTTAGCCGTGGTCTTAAGCGCAAACCAATGGCCCTCGTCAAGAAATTGCGTAAGGCCAAGAAAGAGGCGCCGCCAAATGAGAAACCAGAGATCGTCAAGACGCATTTGCGTAACATGGTCATTGTCCCTGAGATGGTCGGATCCATTGTCGGCGTGTACAACGGCAAAGCCTTCAACTTGGTTGAAATCAAGCCTGAAATGATTGGTCATTACTTGGGCGAATTCTCCCTGACATACAAGCCCGTTAAGCACGGTAGACCCGGTATTGGTGCTACACACAGTTCGCGTTTCATTCCCTCAAGTAAATTATTTCTCATGTTTTTTCATGTTTAGTAATTAATAAAGTTATTTGAGGGATCCTGATATTTGTATAAACCAAACATAATCTATACTAATATTAATCTAATAGTTTTAAGTTTTGTGTATTAAGAGTAATGCATACTTGGTTGCCTAAATCAGTAATGAGCAGTGGGAATGACCTTTAGATCTTTCTGAAAAAGTAATGCTATCATAAGTATGAGCGCTCAGTAAGTCGTAAACATGCATCGCCTAAATATTGTGCTTTTTGGAGCTACGGGTTATACTGGTCGTGCTACGATTCCCGCTTTATATAAACTTACAAAAAAGGGTGCAACCAACTTGACATGGGGGGTCGCTGGCAGGTCGCGCGAAAAACTTGAAAAAGTTTTGCAGGACGCGAGTACTGAATTAAGTAGGAACCACTCAGGAAAAGACACAATACTTTTAATATACTTGAAAATATATCATTGCAGGCACTAGTTTAAGCCATATACCAATAATAATCGCCGATGTCAACAATGAAGCATCTTTAAACGAAATGGCTGCTAAGTCGCAGGTTATTATAAATGTTTGCGGCCCCTTTAGGTTTTATGGCGAAGCGATTGTCAAAGCCTGTATTGCCAACGGAACACATCACTTGGACATTAGTGGCGAGCCGCAATTCATCGAAACAATCCAACTGAAATATGCGGAAGCAGCCGCTGCAAATAAATCCTACATCATCAGTTCCTGCGGATTTGATAGCATACCTGCTGATTTGGGCGTTGTTTTCCTCCAGGAACAGTTTAAGGGAGTATTAGACTCAGTTGAAGCGCATTTACAAACATCTTCCGGTAGTAAATCACGACAAGGTCCTTTCTTTAACTATGCAACATGGGAATCCGCGGTTAACGGGATGAATGACTACGCGAATTTGAAACTGATTAGGCAAAAACTGAATGAAAAAAGGAGCAAAGTTCCACCTAAACGCAGTGATAAAAAGTATTATATGAAATAATTTGAGTGGCATTTTATGTTAGATTTACGTTAAAATTTACAGGAAAACTATTTTTAAAAATCAGATAACTGGACAATGGAGTTTACCGTTCCCAGGCGCTGATACTTCGGTTGTAAAGCGCTCCCAACAATATTTCTATGAAGAACAAAACAAACAACCAATTAAATTTGATATGTACTTTTGCGTTGATTCTATATCTTCAGTTATTAGCAGCTTGTTTCTTTATATGACTCTATCTACGTTGTCGCGGAGTGAATTTGGCAAAAAGTTACTATTGAAGGTAAAAATAACAATTATATGTTGCTACAACATAACTTATTGCCTTTGTAGCATCCAAAATTATTCTCATTTGGAGTATTCAGTCATGATGCTCCTATTGACGAAGAAAGAAAGGAATCCAAGGCAACAATATTCATGAAAGGAAATGGCTGCCTTGATATAAATTCTAAAAAGTATTCAAATAAACCGAAGGATCTTATTATAAGCCGAATTGCCGCTCAGGATCCAGCCTATGGAAACACTGGCACTATTGTGACTCTTGCAGCAATTACTTTATTGGAAGAAAGTGATAAATTACCAAATAAGTAAGATATTAAAACTTAAACTTAAAGATAAATTCATATTGATTTTATTATTTTTAGTGGTAATGGTGGTGTATTTACACCTGCAGCTGCATTTTCTAGGACGACATTAATTCAAAGGCTCAACACTAACGGGATTACTTTTAAGATTGTATCAAAGTATTAAATTTTATTTCTAATTTCTAATCGAATCTGCTTTGAATTTCTCCTTATAACCTCAAAAACGTTTTATTCTTACTCATTTCATCCAGAGAAAATGTTATTTCTTAATAGTACTCGCAGGATAAGTTTTTATTCTATAAGAGATTGGTATGGAAACATTGCGAAAACCTCGCCGCATGAAACCGCCATACAAACATGTTGTACAAATTGGCGATCCAACCCTCAGACAAACTGCTGAGGAAGTACCAACTGATTTAATAGATTCCAAGGAAATTCAAACAATATTACATAAAATGAAAGATGTTTATACAAAATACAATTGTTGTGGACTGTCTGCTCCACAAGTAGGGGTTTCATTGAGGATAATAATGGTGGGCATGAATAAAAAACAAATGAAGGAACATACACCAGAAGAGATTAAAATTAAACAAATTAAAGAGTTTGATTTTCAAGTAAGTTGAGTAACAACCAAATAATACTATAATCATTCAGAAATTTAATGTTTATAGATTTTTATTAATCCTGTAGTGAAAGTGACTGATTACACTAAAATATTGTTTCCTGAGTCCTGTGAAAGTGTCAGAGGATTCTGGGCAGAAGTTCCTAGATATCAAGCAATTACATTACAAGGTAGTTAAACATATTAGAGTAGTACATCAATATATACTTTTGTATACAATATTTTAGGGCATAATGAAATTGGCAAAGAAATGAACATGGAACTGTCTGGTTGGATGGCGCGAATCGTCCAGCATGAAATGGACCATTTGAATGGCAAATTGTATACTGACATCATGGATAGGAAAACTTTAACTTGTGGTTGTTGGGATATCATTAATGAGAGGAATGGTGGAGTGATACTACCTTACAGACCTAAATAATAAATAAAGTTTAATATTGTTTGTATGCTTGTTGGGTTGCACCCAAATACAAGTTTGCATTTCTAACTTTTTGCTTAGTTTTATACCAATTTATTTATTGCGGCCATTGGTTCGTACATTAAATTTGGCAGCATTTAAACCTGTTATAGATAGTGCATTATTAAATAATACCCTTGTTTATTACTATGAGGTTATGTAATATTATTTAATTTAATACAACATATCAACCTCGTATAACGCAAACGAGTTATGGTGTCCTTGATGTCGTCGCACTTTTTCTGTAATCGTAACATTGATTAGATTACACTTCGAGCTCGAATACATCACCAACGATGGTAAGAGTATTCATCAATAACTAAAATGATCTATTTTCTACAAATTGTTCCGGTTTCTAGGCAAGACGGCTCTTAACTTCTCCATATGTGAAAAACAATTTGTATTGCTCAACTGGAAGACTTCAACTATTCCAACAGCGAACAATGTCTACAGAAAATGATGTTCTATTTGAAACAGTCAAAGATAAAGGTATTATTACTTTAAATCGCCCAAAAGCTTTGAATGCCTTGAATTTATCAATGACTCAGAAGTTGCTCCCAACACTGCAAAAATGGGAGCATGATAAAACCCTTGTCCTGGTGAAAGGTGCAGGAGGAAAAGCATTTTGTGCTGGAGGGATGTTCGCGCTGTTACTGAAGCTGGTTTACGCGGGGAACGTTATGGTAATGATTTCTTCAGGTGTGAGTACACTGTTAATGGCACAATAGGTACTTACAAAGTACCTTACATTGCATTTATTGATGGTATTGTCATGGGTGGAGGAGTGGGCCTCTCAGTTCATGGTCACTACCGCGTGGCAACTGAACGCACGCTATTTGCCATGCCAGAAACACAAATTGGTCTGTTTCCTGATGTTGGTGGTTCATATTTCCTTCCCAGATTGGGTGGAAAGTTAGGACTTTACCTGGCACTCACTGGTGTAAGACTCAAAGGTGCTGATGTATACAAAGCTGGTATTGCTACTCATTATGTAAACAGCGATTGTTTAGCGGACTTGGAAAGTGCGCTAATGCAATGTGCAAACGAGTCGGACATCAATCAAACCCTGAAAAAGTTCTCAGCACCGAGTGATTCGGAGTTTGCATTGAAGAAGGACATGGATAAAATTAACGCATGTTTCGCAGGCTCTACAATGGAAGAAATCTATGCTAATTTAGAAAAAGATGGCTCACAATGGGCTAAGGATACTCAGAAACTGTTGTGTCAAATGTCTCCAACAAGTTTGAAGATTACTATAAAGCAGTTGGAGAACGGAGCGAAAATGAATCTATTGGAATGTTTGGAGATGGAATATCGTATGGCGTCGCATTGTTTAGCAAATAAAGATTTCTATGAAGGTGTGCGTGCCCTTTTGATCGACAAGGATAAGTCGCCAAAGTGGAATCCGGCCAGGATCGAAGATGTTAGTGATGCCTTAGTAAATAGCCACTTCGAAAAATTGCCAGCTCACGAAGAGTTAAAACACAAATTGTAAAATAATTTTGTAATAATTAAGCCTTCCAATATACATGCATATTACTACTTTTGAATCTGGACTCTCTTGTAATTCCTGTATCTAAGAAACTAAATTCAAAAAGGATAAATACTGACAGAACAGCGCACGCGCACTCGTGCTTCTGCACATGCATGTTTTGATGTTATTGAGGTTAGAAAATGTGGTTTTGAATGTGCGAAATTTAATATAAAATAACGAAATAAAACATGACTAAGGTAAATTAAAGAATATTTTATAATTTTAATTATTATTCAACTAATTAATGATCACTTTAAGGTTGTACGTTATTTTGATAAACCAGAAAATGAAGACGCAAAACCGTCGACACGCAAACAGCGAAAACGAGCAGAAGCACAAGAAAAGAAGACTACAAATGATATAATTACTTATAATGCCAAACTAAACAGGAAGTTTATTCATCCCTCAAAACTTACAAAGGATGGTAAGGTCAAGAAAAAGGTACAAAATCCAAATCCAAAGTATCCCAGCAGGAAAGTAATTGATCCAAAAGTACTGGAGAAACACAGTCGAGGTACAGGTCTTGCTAAAGGTGGAGTTAAAACTGGTGTTCACAAGAAAAAGTTTGCCAGAAAAGAAGAACAATTGAAGTTTGCACATGAACAGGCTGCCAGAGTTGAAATATTACTCACTGAACAATCAGGGTAATTCATTTTAAACCACTATTAGTTAATTTTAAAAACAATTGAAAATGTTTCAGTTATTTGGATGCTGATGATGGTGAAACAACCACACAATTTACACAGAAGCAAATTGCTGACAGTGTTGATATAACAGCAGCCTCAAAGCATTTTGAGTTAAAACTGACTGATTTTGGTCCATACAGATCAAAATACACACGAAATGGCCGGCATTTATTGCTGGGTGGTAAGTTGGGTCATGTTGCAGCCTTTGATTGGGTCACAAAAAAGCTGCATTGTGAACTTAATGTTATGGAAACAGTTCATGACATCTCTTGGCTTCATTTGGAGACTATGTTTGCTGTAGCTCAAAAAGAATGGGTTTACATTTATGATCATCAAGGCATTGAGTTGCATTGTCTTAAACGTTTGAATAAAGTCTCTAGGATGGAATTTCTTCCATACCACTTTCTCTTAGCCACAGCAAATGATGAAGGTTATCTTGCATGGCTGGATATATCAATAGGTCAATTAGTATCCAGGTTGAATACAAAACTGGGTCCACTATCGATGCTGACACAAAATCCGTACAACGCAACTTTATGCGTTGGTCATGCCAAAGGTGTAGTATCCATGTGGGCACCGAGCTCGCCGAAACCTCTAGCGAAACTCCTTTGCCACAAGGCATCAATGACTGCCTTGCATGTGGATCCCAGGGGAGTTTACATGGCTACCGCCGCCATTAACAACGAAGTTAAAATATGGGACGTCCGAAATCTCGAAGGTCCCTTGCAGACTTATAAGTTGCATGCGCCGGCTTCGAATTTGAACTTTTCGCAGCAGAATATGCTCGCGATAGGCATGGGAAACGTTGTTGAGGTTTACAGAGATTGTTGTACGAAATCTGCGAAGCGGCCATATCTCCGACACCGGTTTAATAATACAATAGGAAACATGGGTTTCTGTCCGTTCGAAGACGTATTAGGCGTCAGTACTGATAAAGGCTTTACCAGTTTATTGGTGCCTGGATCTGGCGAGCCGAACTTCGACGCATTAGAACTCAATCCATTCCAGACGAAATCACAGCGTCGTGAACACGAAGTGAAGTCGTTGCTAGAAAAGATACAGCCGGATCTGATCACGCTGCATCCCGCTGTTATTGCGGATGTGGACGTGCCGACACTCCAGGATAAAGTGGAAATGAAGAAGAAACTACTGGTGATAATAATATATACATTCATGCACAATATACAGGTATAATGTCTTTATTATAATTTTCAGTATTTGAAACCGCCGAAGATTAATTACGAGCCGAGAAATAAAATGAAAGGTAAGGGTGGCGCTGCGAACTTGGCACGTAATCGTAAAATTGTCCAAGGGGAAGCTAAGAAGGAGTTTATTAAAAATATGAAACAAGTACGTGCGGAAATCCAACCTGGTGGAAAGAAGAAGAAAATTCAGGGTACAGGCAGTGTTTTGGATCGATTTTTACCTAAATAATGCCATTTGGTTGACACTGTAATAAAAGTTTAATTATTATGTGATTTTTGTATTTATTTTGTGTACTTCAAAACGTATTACACACGCAAAACACGAAACAAAGACCAAAAGGGAGGAGAGATAAATTTGGGGACCAGCGAGGGAACTGTTGGAAGATTCAGGCGTGATTATACCTGCGAGCGACCCACAAAAAGTGGTGGGGGTAAGGTAATATGTTCGGGAATCTCTTTTTCTCTATTTCTCTTTGCCAGGTTGACGCAGGTGCAAAATACCTCGTAACTTTTGAACTAATAAACTAATTATTAGTTTATCGTGGTAATAACATAATTATAACATATTTTTAGTTTTTTATTGACGTAAATGCTACCACTGAACTTCAATATAACTAAAAATGCCGGGAGTGAATTGTTTAAAGAGGTCCATTCGGTATAATGTGCCGATTGTGATCTTTAAGAATTGCCGGCGCGTGGAAAGTAAAAGGGGATATAAATTACGTTTATGGCTTCCACACCATGAATCCAGTTTAGCTGGAATTTCCGCATTTTTATTTCGCCACGAAATCTTTCCGCCCCACGACAAAATTGAAAGTCGATGTAATGATTTTCATTAGTATATTATTTTCTTCCACGTTTTGTTTTTAACACATTGATAAATTTCACAGTAAAGAGTTACATTAAAAAGATGTCTATTTAATGATACCTTTTGAAGTATCTTGTTTACTTGACATATATTTTAAATTGATTGCATCATCTTCAAGTTTCTCTCTTAATCTATGTCATAGGCATAATACAAGCTGGCAGCAATTAAAAACGCAGAGTTTTAATACTCCAGCTTGTATTATGCGTAATTCTGGCATTCATATGATGATTGAGTAACGATAAGGATTGTTGCGACTTGAGTAACGTTTATAAAAATCATTCTTACACGTGTAATACCCTTTTGTGTATGTATATTAATTTATACAGTATTCAAACATCGTAGTTATCATTAGCTAAATTGGTTAAACGTACCTTTCCCCAAAGTATTTACTTATGTGCTTATGCGTTCTCATATTTGGGTTATACTCATATGTACACTTAGGTCTTACACTTACAGTTAGTGACAATACATCGTTCAGAATAGATTGATCTGTCTTTGGTACATAGTTATAAAAAATACACACAAAGATACATTCAATGAAGTGTATATTATATGTACATCTTAAGATGAGAATTCATATTAAATTAGTTTTAACGTATTTATTGGATAATAGGAAAAGTTATTCTCTATTCAGTTTTCAACTAAATATTATATTATCACAGATAAATGTATAAATTTGTAGCTGAATCATGTGCGAAATTTATTTTAAGGATAATCTCTATCGCGTTAAACACAAGTAAATAATTTTGATTAATTTTTAAAAAATAATCTCAACTTTATGTTCTTAATTCTATCGAGTTCGGATAGTGGAACATTTATCAGAGAAGTCTGAAGGCGTAGTAAGTTTCTGGTTCGCTATCTCGAAGAAAAATCTATTTACATAAAGGCACTAGTTTTATAGTTTTGTAGAGTTTAAGTACACAAGCACATGAATATTGCAGGATGCTATTTACATATTTCACATTGGAGTATCCGGAGATTTAATATAACATTTAGTGATTGATGCGTCTGTGGTGACTACGGTTGAGCGCCACATTTGCAATGTCATCGTAAAACACTTATTATAGCCACGCTTTGTTTCTTTTCATGTGTTCCGGAACAAAAAAAATGGCTGACAGTCTTGAAAATACATATTCAGATTCTTAGGACATTCTTATCGTGCCCGGCGTGGGCGAACATGAACGTATAATGACCCTGTGCGTTGTTTTCTTATTGCTATCGCCTGCCTTCTTGATGGCGGACGGCGGGCAGGGCACGGCCCCCGCGCTGGTTCCGCTGGTTCCTGTCGGTGACTCCGCTGAATCGCCATGCGGTGATGTACTCTTGTGCGGCTGGCGGCTTGGAGAGCGGCGGCGATGTCGTCACAACGTGTATAACTCATGCTGTTGACCACTCACCGAAGAATAACTGGTATTACTGGGAGTGGGTTCCATCACGTGGTGATGCGAGTTGAAATACTGCAAAAACAAAGCGCGTATTGAGAAACAATCGAAGTGTTGTGAAAAACACGCACGTACTTCATCAAATGGAAATATAAATACAGAACGATATTTGAGGGGCAAAGATTACAAATACACATTCATATCACACATATGGGGTTGCTCGGTTTGCAAACAGAGAAGGGGGTCATCAGGACGACGATCATGCCTGGCTTATTTCTGTTGGTTTTGGTGGTTGATTGCCGTCGAATGCCAGAGGGAATGTTTGTTTTTGCTAGTCCCATGAGAACTATCGATGGTACTGCATGGCGATACTTTGGGCGAGGGTTAAAATAATATCTACACTCAAATATTTAGTGTAGAATAATTAATTCGCTTTATGTGCCCATAATGATATTGATTGAGGGTAAATATCATGTGTAGGGATTTCATTTACTGAATTTAATATTAATTTTAAATTGAGAAAAGTCCAAGGTAATTGGTTTTCTATATATTTTTAATGAAATTAACTTTTTTCTTCATTTTCAATACGTCGGGACTTGTTCACACCCGTGTTGAATTCGCGCCAGGATGCACCTATAAAAGAAACTCATATCTGCCGCTTTTATACAGGCTCTATACATTTCCTTCCAGTTCTCGGCTCCAATCAGCGTAATAAAACGAGGATTTCAATGTCTGCGCGTCCTGCCTCTCCTGCCTGTGCGATCGCAAGTGCCTTTCGGGCGACGACGGTACAATGGTGATTTCTTTTTCGGTAAGCTGGAGTTAACGATAGCCGCATGAAACAGCGGCGCGAAACTGTAAATGGAATGACTTTTTCCTGATAGCGTCTTTCGAATTTCGGCACAACTCGCGGAAAACTATGCTGACAACAATGGTGACACAAATCGAAAAATATATGCGTTTGATGTCTGAGAGAACAAAAAACGTATTTTTATCGGAAAATATTTTAAAAATTAAATTAAATCTGTTGTCAAAGAACATAACCTCATCCACAAAATTATTTTCCACTCCTAACCTATACTTTTCAATTTATGGATTATAATAAGCTTTATTTATTATTTATAGATAGAATAATGAATTCTTTATGAATAATAATCAACATTTCGGTGTTTTATTCACAACAAAAATACCAAATGGTGAATATTGTAATGTTTTGTGGTAATATCAAAAACATACTAATGCGGCAAGCTTTTCACTTGTTGTGAAAGCTTAACATAATAATACCAAACACTGTTTGTAAATATTTCGCACATTATCAGAAGAATGGAGCTGATATTGTGAGATTATCCAGATAGGAAATAAATATATATATACTCCTTATTTAAACCATGCAGTAGCACGGAGATACTTTGGCGGTGTTGTGTTATGGGAAACACCTTGCGAAGCGGCTTTTATTCGCTCGGATGCTAATAAATGGGCCCTAATAAAGAAAGATTTACAAAGCGGAAACACATTTCTGCGCTATATTCACTATACTGAATGCTCCAAATTTATTTTTGGTTATTTTCGTAAAAAAACTAAATTTAATCATACAAATGATTTTAATATAATATAATTTTCTTGTTTATTGATTAATTCAATCAATTTATCTATATTGGAAGACTGTAGGTATAAAATCGTAACTTTCGGAATTCAGGTAAATATCTACCGGTTGAGTTTGCGACGGTTTTCGTAGGCGGTCCGCTGTCGAAGGTGTGTTTCAGTGAACGCATCCGAAAGGATACGCATTGAAAGTGTATTAGGTATTCGAGGGCAACCGTGCGTTTCCGGTTTATTGAAAGTGCTTCGAGTCTATAATTTATACAACCGCGGCATCGTCGCTCGGCGCCCTTTAGAATTCGAAGTGATGCGTATTTCGTGCATCGCTTCAGTCGCTCCACTCGTCGAGTGTTTGTTGTTCGTTTATTTCACATTTAAAATCACGACATGCCTTTAGATTTCAGTTAAGTGCTCACAGTCAAAAACGGGGGCAGTGATGGTGCAGGCAGAAAAACTCATTTTGTTACATTCACCAAAACAATAAATGCAAGAAACAACCAGAGAAGAATATCACAATCGGAGGAGGGTGAAATTTACCTTCTGCAGCTGTTACGCGTCGACATATTGAGATTTTGCGTGTAAATGTATAGATGTGTATTGAGGTTATGTCTCGGAACTCAAATTTTAACCGTAGCACTGACGCAAATCTGAATCTATTGATTTTATTGGTCGGAACAAGTTTTTCGAAAATTATTACCTTCGCACCTAATCATTTGATGTGTGGTTGGAAGTTTTTAGTTGCGGGGGCGTATGTTTTAAGCATGTGTGTGTGTGTGTGGGTGGTGTTTGAAACTACATATTTTATATTTAAAAATAGAAAAGCGACGTCGATCGGGTGAAAGGTAGATTGGACGCGATGTTAGTAGGCCGAGGCGGGGCCGTTTGCTAAATGTATGTCTGCTCGCAAGAGTTGTGCCGCAAATTGTAGGACGAGTAATAACGGCTCGATGAGATACTCTGGAACATATTAAGGTTTGTGTTGGTTAGCATATAAGCATATTACTGCTGTCTGTTTTATATCGTTACTAGTGCATATTTACAACGTTCCCAGTCAGAATCATTCGAAAATATTTCTCGCTTAGTATCAAAAGGATAATATATACATTTTATCCCATGCTTGTCCCAAAATCATCAGTAAATAGGTATATAATATTTATATACATGTTATTTACATCTTGTAACTACCTTAAGACCATGTCTCCGCAGGCTATAACAAAATCAGTTGACATATTGTAACGTGAGAAGAATACAAGCTGAAACTAATTGATAGCTGTTTAAAAATTGGTTGTTTATGCGCATGAATTAGTTCACTCGATTGCTGACACAACTAAAATGGTGGTTATCGACGCCAAACAATTCCTCGTCCTTTTATCGTATTTGTACGCCAGTGCTACGCTTGAGTGCGCACTGTTAAAGTTATTGTTTCAACCTGTGGCTGCGGATTAGCCGCGCTACAAGCACCACTCACCTGACTAGCTTTAGTCCTGAAGGCCGGCTGATAACGTCTGCGGATGGATCGCGGACAGCATACGCACAGGATGCGCAGGAAAGCTCTGCAACAATAATCGGCTTTTAATGCTATTGTTCTAATCACAATGAAAATGTTATTGTATAAGCTAGGCATTTTTGGTAAAAATTTATTCTGCATCGTGTGGAGAAAAATTCAATAATCTTGAATTGAAGGTATGCCTGCGAAAGCAAAGTATTATAGATGCGAGGAACTGGAGGTTAAAGCTTTTTCTGCGCCGGGCGAAATATCAAAGTATTCAAAGAAAGCGTCGGGTATTGTGAACAAGCGTATAACATATGGCGCATAACCGATTGTCGCTCGTGTGGAAAACACCTTCGCACATAAATGCATGCATGACATATTTGCGCCACGCTTCACCTGGTGAAATTTCGTGGATTTTTATTCGTTTATGATTTTTTACCCACTATGTAAACTTGCTTTCAACTTAGATCGAAATGCTTTTACATAAGGGAAACCGAATAGTGAAAGGGTGAATGTGGGGTAATCCCTTCTTTTTAGTTCAGTATTGTTATGAATTATTTTTGACCCTTTTTATTTAAATATCTTATCTTATAGAGAATTTTCAGTAGATTTAGAATTTTCAATCCATTCCTCTTTATCGTTTTTAATTTACGAGATATTCTCAATTAAAACAAAAAAAACTCGCAAAAAAGTAAAAATTTAAAATGTTTGCTCTTTTAATCACGATTTCCAAACCTTTTAGCCCAAAATTTAAATTAATTTCTCATCTTAAAAAGAATTTTCCATACTTAAATACAAAACAACATACAAAATACTCAAAAGTTTTTTTTGCCACTTTTTTGTATTGAATTGTTTTTACGTTTCTTCGAATTCCAATTTAACCAGCTTATTTTATAGAGAATTTTCCGTAGATTAATAATCTTTAATTCGTTCCTCTCTATCACTCTTAATTTACAAGATAATCTTAAAAATTTTGATAAATCACCAACTTAACACTTTTTTCACTTAAAAAAGAACAAAATGAAGGCCTCATATGGGTCAAACATGGCGTGCACATTGTAAACGACTGACTAGCATGCATCACCATCACCGCAGTCCAAGAGGGCACTGTGCTTTTAATTTTATGCCGACATTAAAACAAGTAGCACACGCTTGTTTTCAATTTTTACGCCGGTGCCTTTTTTATGGTGGAGGCGCCGCCAACCAACATCCTACTAGCCGCTCGGTTCAAACGCATTGTTTGTCTGTGCGTAGACTTTATCTTTGCGCTTGCTTTGTTTACGCAATGTGTTATTACTTGTTTAGTGTTATTTGCGCAGGCTAATATTTCAGAATTTTACACAACGTGCGGCGTTGTAAGCATTGTGATTTAATTACTGGTATGGATTCACGCGGCGCAACGTTGTGAGAAGATGTGAAGAAGTAACCGGCTGTAATAATACTAATTTTCACTAGAAGGGGTTGCGCGTGTACATCAAGATATCAAGTGAATTGAAAAGCAAATATATAAGTGAAATTTCTTGAGTAAAACTTGGCGAAATTCAATTTGACTCACCAAAACTTAGGAAATTCAAAAGGTTTAAAGCAAATATTAAAAAATTAATTACAAATTTTCTTTTGATATAAAACTATTGTTTAATACAACAAATATTTAATTAAAACATTTCACTTTGATTCATTTTACGTCCGTATTTGTATCGACTTTCGGTTTATGTTCCACATGTTGAAACGAGCACTATTAATTTATTAATTACATCCGTAAGCTGTTTGCCAATGGCCGCACCCGCTGCGGCCTCAAAACTTAACGCGATTTTCAAAATCACGTCGAAATATCAACATACACTAAAGTTGATACATGCAATTATAATTCTATTGATTATTTAATAATTTAAGTGATGAAATAATTACAAATATTAAGGGCGTCTGCAATATTCACCGAGAATTTATGATTTTGCACCCTGTATACTAAGCAGATAGCTCGTTATCTCAGCCTTAATCAAAATTAATCGACTTGCACCCCGAAGGCTTGTTGTGTTATTATTAAGGCGCGCACGTACCACTAGACTTAGCTTACTAATCACGCCGCCTGTCAACAGCCTGATGCGTTTAATTGTTTTTGTTTTTAATTAATATTTGACGCACGCGCTAACTATTTACCTATTATCTTGTTATGTGTGTAGAAAGCAGAAAAAAAGAAGTGTCTAGGTCAGACATGGAAGAAACGGAATGCAAACAACTATAATTTACTTTTTTAATAAACGCTCGACTTCCCGTCTAGCAGGCACGCTTAATAATTCATCGTTAAACAAATGGCGTGTGCTTTTATTGTTTTCCCTCCCAACAATCGCATGCAAATATGTGTTTGTGCGTGTGAAAAGAGGCGAAAAGCTGCCGAAGACAATGCTGGATTGTAAATGCGCCGAATTGGGCATGGTTATATGGGTCATCGGTCCGATTACAGTCTACAGTCGTTCATTCAAGGGCATTCGTGTTCGATGGAGCACATTCCCCTTTTTAAAAGTGGTTCGCTGTCGCTGCCAATCGAGTTTGTGAAGTGATTAATTTAAGTGAGCCCATAATTAATCGTCGCGGAACACACAAATTGCCTCTTTTTATCGTAAGGCGTATCGAAGAAACGCCAAACAAGTTGGTATGCGTCGCGAGCACTAAAATAGAGAGCATCTGCATTATCTGAACGCTCGTGTCGGATGGAACATAAAGTTTTTTTTTATGTGTGTGTGTGGGTGTTCTTGGTTTTTCGTTACGTAATCGATACGCTTGGCTCGGCGCGAATGCGTTAGAATAAAAGTTTGTGATTTGCGCGAATTAAATATGCAAAATTGAGTCGGAAATTGTGCGTTTTGCGAAATGGGAATTCGAATTCACTAATACCTTCATTTCTAGCGAGCGGATGTCGCTGGAAAAAAAGCGGATCTCGCTAAAGTGCATCACGCTTTTCTGCATTTCCGCCAAATATAAGCGATGTAAATGCCGGATCAAAAAGAACCCAATTCAAATTCGCAAAAATAAATATCTCGTTTGATCAGTTTACGCAAGCTATTCCAATCAAACTAATGCACAAAGCGACTCGCAAAACGCCAGCAGTTTACCAAACATAAATAAAGTAGGATATTTAGAAAAGCTGCAATTTGTTATAAACGCTTAAGGAAGATACACTCACAAACGTCATATACTCGTAATTATGAATAAGAGAAAGATTTAAATGTTCTGTTTGCTTTACATTTTACATAAGACCCCTTTTACCTTCAGCGTGCAAATCCACGACGTTGAAGAAAAGGAAACGAACAATACACACAGCCGCGTTGGCATAATGCACTATGGCTTCGCCCTTTGCGTTTGCTCAAGTTGCGAAATCATTTCCAGGACGTCCGTCGCGCGCACAAAGTTAAACGTATAAATTTGCATTGGTTTTAGGTTCGTCGCATTTCGTGTCAGACGCAGCAGCAAAGCACACCTACCGTTTGTTAACCAAAGTCATCATAAAACGATCTGCAGGCCCAGCACGCCGATTCACACACACGGCGCAATAGAAAATCTTTTACGGCGAAGCGGCTGTGTTAAATTGCACGTAACTTATTTTGCGTAAACGGCGCGCAGGAAGACAGCACAAATTACACTCGACGAGCGCAACAACGCTCATTGTATGGCATTGATGTAAGACAAGCCCTGTAATTTAGAGTTTTATCCGTACGCACGGGAATTATAACAAATTGTTAATTAACGCAACTGTTTTTTTTCTTTTGAATTCAATACAGAAGACTTACGTACAGTCGATGTAATGATTGTAATATAACAAGGATTTTTTTAATAAAAGCCAATTCTTCACTTGGTTTTTGCCCCTTTTATATTTTCTTTTGTAAGGCTTTTTGGGATTGCGTATGAAGTTACATAGCATTTTAACCGAGCTTAGCCGCACGAGGCAAGTTAATCCAATGGTTAGTCTAATGAAACGTAACGCCGTTTTAGCATTTCGCAGAAGACGCTGAAGCGCGCCCGGCGGTAAAGTGGGTCTTTTGAAATGGAACTCTCGCGTTTCGTTCAAAAAGCACATCGTCAACCGTAAGCGCATCGATGGTCGTCACCAACCGACCCGGAGGGGTTGTTTCTTAAGATCTCCTAAAGGGTCACCCTGCTTCAAGGAGAATTGTTTTATAAAAACAAATATTTGCTTAAAAAATTCTAAAACTTTGCGTTTAATTGCTTAATTATTGTTCCGAATTAATAGGCGTTAATGACACATCTGCATGCGAAATTTCCGTATACGAAACTTGAGCTAAGCTCAGTTTGGGAATTTGATTGCATTATAGTTCGATGCGGCGAGGAAGTTAACACACATTATGAATATTTGAACGCTCGTTAGTCGCCTGTGTCAAGGACAAAACTTTATCTGTTTGGTGCTAGGCGGAGATACCCCAAAACAATGCCGTAGCAGTAAAACATTTATTAGTCAACATCTAATTAATTATAAGTGTCCTACGACGAATGAAAATATCTACTTCATGAAAAAAATATTAAATTCCGATGTGAACATATTTCGTACACCGCATGCTGAAATTCACACTGATATTGTTCAAATATTCATCGAACAACCAATCGTAATATTGCGCTATGTACGAAACACATTAGACGAAATCGTTGGCGTGCGAAAATCCCTTGAAACAAACGTTATGCACGTAATTGCCTCTTCCAGCATGATAATTTTTTCAGATTTTTTTCCCACACCGACAAAATCGTTCCATCTTTTCTGTCGACGCGAATGATTAATTTAATTCAAAGCAACTTGTAAAGAAAGTAAAACTTTTCTCAGATCGATACACAAGCTGAATTCACTTCTCAACTCAACTCCTCCGATTAGGTAATTTAATCATCTTGTTTACTCAATAATTTTTTTTCCTCTCGAAAATTTAATATCATTTCTAAGCAGTCAATTACAAAACTTTAATCTATACCATCAAGTGGCAAGTTTCGAGCGTATAAATGATCTGTTTTTGGAAGACAATTTGAAAATATCGATTTCTCATTTAGCGCGTCCGCGTCCGG